AGCAGTGATTCCTGCTGATTCAAGCTAACATATCCTCCCAAAACAATAACTTATGATTCAATAAAGGAATTAAGAGAGTACCCCATAATAGAAAGGAGCTTGTAAATCATTTTTCTGAGAGTTAAATATTTTATTTATTTTTTATCAGGTTTTTTATTTTATTTATTTTTAATGTCAAAATCCATTTTAAAATATTAAAAAATTTAAATCCATTATAAAGTCTCAGCAATTAAAACAATAGTAAATCTTAACTATAAAGCAACTTCCACTCTAGTATTCAAGAATAGTGGGTGGGAAACCTCTTATATTTGGAAATATACTACAACAAGTTTATTTCCTTTTAATTTTTTGCTTTAAAATAAAGACAGATTTTTTTCTTTAGGCCAATATCAAGGTTAGAAAAGAAAAGTAAATCATAGGGGCTTGTAGAATTAAGAACTGACCAAGTGTGATTGGATTAACACATAACTTTCCAGTTGTCAGGTTATAAGAGTTATTTTTTTTTTCTAAAGTAAAAATTCAGTTTATTCATCTGTTTATGACACAGGGCACAAGAGGCAAAGTGTTTACATATAGATTTCACTTCCAGCTCCATGGAATGTTCATTTGTTTGGCTAAAAGGAGAGACTAGTTGGGAAAGCCAGGCAATGCTTGGCCTAAAATAAGGTGGGGGTAGGATCAATGCTAACATCATCCTCACAGGGATGGGCATGGGGGGCTATTAGTCTCAAGCTGATTTTCTAGAATCATTAGTTGGAAGCACAGGAACACCACTCCTGGACACTTGAGCCGCCTCGGGCCTCAGTCGTCCCCACCACACAGGTATAGCAGCGCTCTCTAGTAGTCAGCCTTGGTGTCTTGCTGGATGTAATAGGACAGCGACTCGCTCAACTTCTTGAATTCAGACCTGATTTTCAACATGTCCACTTCACCGCAGGAGATCATGACTCTGATCGAGACCTTGTCGCATGTGCCTTTGCCCTTCACAGAGACATACAGTCAGTCAGCAAAATGCAGGGAATTGTTCTGGATACACTGGACCTACATTCGGGAAAGCATTTTCCAGGTCACCCTTTATTTCTTTCTTGATGCTCTCCAACATGTCATAAGGGCTGTAGCTCTTGTACCTTTCAAATGCTTTCTGGAGGTGACACACGCTCCACTCAGTGATGATGCTGATCCACTTGGGAACATTGGTCCCTTTCCTCTTCACTCCAGCATCATAGAGATCCTGGGCATTTTGGTCAGTCAGTTCATAATCAATGACAGAGCCATCTTCTGCTCTTCTACCCTTGGTGAGGGCAACCTTCACCTTGCGGAAGTCACCAGACGTGTCGAAAACAATGTCCTCCTCCAGGTCAGTCTTGTACATTTCCTTGTAGACTTTGTTAATTCCCTGCAGGTCATGGTTGGTCCTTGAGTAGATGATCTCAATGAGAGATTCCTCATCAGTCCACAGCCCTTTCAGCTGGGGCCTTCAGCTGGGAAGCATCATACTGAGCAGGTGTTTTCAATATGCCCAGAATCACCGTCTCCAGGTGGCTGGACAAGGCTGATTTCAGTGCTGATGCAAGTTCCTTTTTGGTCCTTCTCTGTGAGGTGAATGCAATATCCTGTCTCTGTTCATTGCTGCAGTTGGTCAAAATGTTGACATTTGTGATCTCATCTTCACCTTTGGTCTTGATGGCTGTTTCAATGTTCAAAGCATCCCAGTCGGCATCAAAGTTGGTGTAGGATTTGACTGACCCATACGCATATGCGGGTGTAGAGTGATCACCCTCCAAGCTGAGCTTGCACAGAATTTCATGAACAAATTTTGAAAGAAGCTGGGCCAGGCACTGAGAGCAGTGAGTGTCTCCAGATGCAGATCTACGTCATAAGAGGTTTTGAAAGATACATTTTTACTGTGAGTTAGAAGGAGTGTGCGGATGTGTGTGTGTAATGCCATAATTATGGGTCAATTTCTAGTAACTAGAATTTTGCAAGGGGGAAATTCCAATCAAGATGGCAGCACAGGCAAATGCAGTAGTCAAATACTCCCACGGCCACATCAAAATTACAACTAAACTACAGAACAACTGTCATTCAGAACCTCCTGAAACTAACTGAATGGAAGTCCTACAACTAGGGATTTAAAGAAGCCACATCAAGATGATATTTGGGGTGGAGTAGCAGAATAGGCTGGTCCCACCACCCACATGTGGCAGATAAAAACAGGAAGGATATCTTGACTGTGGAGGTGCCTCCTGAGGATTGAGGGGTCTCAGCTCCATGCCAGGCCCGAGGCTCAGGGTTCCAATGACAGAAGAAGTGTCCATAGCTTCTGGCTGTAAAAACCAGCAGTAATTGAGGCTGAGTGAGATAAAGGGCTCTGGAGTCCCATGCATTCCTCTTAAAGGGCCTGCATAAGGACTTACTTGGATGCACTCCCTCTAAGCTTCAGCACTGAGGCAGCTGCTTAAAAGGCACCAGGGATGTATGGGATGGAACTGAATTATCTGGCATCAAGGCAAACCTGGAGGGGGGCAGTCTTCTCCTAGACAGAAGTGCTGGCAGAGACCATGATTTTTCTGATGAGCCCTTCCCCCCACCAAGCTAGAAGGCAGGTGCCATATTTAAGTCTCTGTCAAACTGGCTATCACTGTTTCCCTAACCCTGGTGATTCCCTGAGGCCACACCTCACTCAATTTACAGTCTCACCCAAGCCATTCCCAGTGGCTTTTACATACAAATGGCTTCTCCTGCGTCATGCTCCAGACTTTCCTGAAATGTCTCAAACAAGCAGCATCTGGCCTCTGTATACCCTGTACCTCTGGCTCAGTGGCCCCAGGCCAGCCACTAGCAGGAACTGGCCTTAGTTTGCAGCTTGGCCTCTCCAGGGTACCTCCGAGCCCAGCTCAAGTAGCAGCCATCTGCCAATAACTCTTTAGCCCATTCCAGGTGACCCCAGGCAGGGCACAGGTGGAGGCTGACCTTGTACCTTTAGGAGGCCCCAGAGCCAGTGCACCCGGTAGACACTTCAGACCACGCCAGATTACAACCCTACCACCTCCACAAGCCACACTGTCAAAGGGCACACCAAAGCACTAATGGGGCTTTTGGTGAGCACTCAAGCCCCACTAGAGCAAGTCCTCCATAGGGTCAGCTCCTGCATAGCAGCTCTTCCACTGTAGTCATGGCTGGCCCTCACAGCCAATTGGCCTAGGGGATCAACCCCTCCCAGTGAAACAAACAGCATTCAAGGCTCAACCACAACAGAGAGTGTACACAACACACACCGGGGCACACCTGGAGCACCCAGCCTGGGTAACTGGGGAGGCTGCACCACTGGGCCCTACAGGACACTCCTATACAAGGCCACCCTGGGAGATGTAGCAGCTCAACCTAACACACAGAAACAAACATAAGGAAGCAGGCAAAATGCAGTCACAAAAATACAAGTCCCAAATGAAAAACAGGAGAAATACCCAGAAAAACAACTAAATGAAGTGGAGGCAAGCAAACTACCAGATACAGAGTTCAAAGCAATGGTTACAAGGATGCTTAAGGAACTTAGTGAGAACTTCAGCCTGAAAAAGGACATAGAAACTCTAAAAAAGAACAAGTCAGAAATGAAGGATATACTACGTGAAATGAAGAATAATTTATAGGGAATCAACAGTAGAGTAGATGAAGCCAAGAATCAGATCAACAATTTGGAATTTGAGGAAGCAAAAAACACCCAATCAGAACACACACACAAAAAAAAGGAGGCTGGATTAAGGAGCCTTTGGGGCAATTTCAAGCATTCCAGTATTCACATCATGGGGGGAGGGGTGGGGAGTGCTAAAAGGAGAAAGAAATTGGAAACCTATTTTAAAAATTAATAACAGAAGACTTTCCTAACTTGATGAAGGAAAAAGACACACAATCTTGGAAGCACAGAGAGTTCCAAACAAGGTGAAGCCAAAGAGGTGTACACCAAGACACATCACAATTAAAATGTGAAAGTTTAAAGACAAAGAACCTTAAAAGCAGCAAGAGAAAAGCAGTTGGTTACCTACAAGGGAGCTCCTGTAAGACTGTCGGCTGATTTCTCAGCAGAAACTTTGCAAGCCAGAAGGGAGTGGCAAGAAATATTCAAGTGCAGTACACAGATTATGTATTGTAGAACTGTACACCTGAAACCTATATAATTTTATTAACCAGTGTCACTCCAAAATATTCAATAAAAAAGAAAAAAATATTCAAAGTTATGAAAAGCAAGGACTTACAACCAAGGTTTACTTTACCCAGCAAAACTGTCATTTAAAATCAAAGGACAAATAAAGAGCTTTCCAGACAAGGAAAGGCTAAAGGAGTTCATCACCACCAAGCCAGTATTACATGAAATGTTAAAGGGTCTTCTTTAAGAAGAGGGGGAAAAAGATAAAAAATATGGACCATAAAATGACAATAAATATATATTTATCAATAATTGAATCTAAAAATCAAAATAAACAAGCAGAACAGAAACAGACTTCCAGAGACAAAGAATATTTGGATGGTTGCCAGATGGGAGTCAGGGTTGGGGAAATGAGTGGAAAAGGCAAAGGGGTTAAGAAGTACAAATTTATAGTTGCAGAATAGTCACAGGTAGTAAAGTACAGCATAGGGAATATAGTCAATAGTATTGTAATAACTTTGTATGGTGTCACATGGGTACTAGAGTTATGGGGATGATCACTTAGTAAGTTACATAATGTCTAATCACTGGGGTGTATACCTGAAATTAATATAATATTGTATGTCAACTGAAATTAAAAAATAAAAAATGATTTTTAAAAAAGTTGCATGTGGTGAAGAGCAAGCAAATTGGTTTAAGTGGATTGTTAGAAGAAGAAAGCAAATTGAATTTGTTTGCTATTTTGATAGCAAAACCACACTGAAGTGGCTTGGTACAATTAGCAGTTTATAAAAGTGTGCAAGTTCTCAGTTTTTCAACATTAAATATACAGTTTACATATTTATATATGTTTCAGGCTACATTATTGGAATTTTGAAGACATGAAAACATCAGATGAACCAACCTGCAGCACCGTGGATTCAGATTGGAAGATGAAGAGAAAATTTAAAGAATGTGGCCTCTAAAGGCGGGTAGTACCTGGAAATATTAACCGACTCACATTGTAAAAATGAGACCACTTTCTAAACAGTAGAGATTATTTTAGTCCAACATCAAGGTTCAAGACAACATGTTGAACTAAAAACTTTACACTCCTCCCCTCCCCCACCTCAGACAGGTACCAGCATTGGTAAATATGGTTTTCCTTAGTCAGAAGCACTCCTTTTTACCCATGTAGATCATTCTTAGTAATATTGATTATTTAATGTAGATTATAATGGGAAACTGATTTTTTCCACAATGGCAGATTTCAAGGACTTGGTTCCAAACTGAGCCGAAGCATCCCAGTGCATTTTGTAGTCTGGGAACAACTATGCTGCAGTGGCCATTTTTGAAGGCCATCATGCCCTGTAATATAAGGATATCATCTTATTGCTGATATCTTTGGAGAGTCCCAAGCAGATACAGAAAATGAATGGAGGCAAGGAGTGTGACGGAGGGGACAAGGATGGAGGTCTTCCAGCTATACAAGTTCCTGTGGGTTGGCAGCGCCGTGTGGATCAAAATGGAGTTCTTTATGTCAGGTGAGCCCTTATTGTTACCTGCGTTACCTCCCAGTTTGCAGTCCCAAAATTAAGGAGGTAGAGTCTGTTCCTCCAAGGGAGCAAAATATTGTGACTGACAGCACCTCAAATAAATTTGAATAAATGAACTTTGTGCTAAAAATATTCAGGTGATTTTAATCTGTACTATTTTGCAATGTAAATTGCCTTAGGTTACAAGAGAGAATTTTTATGCATTACTTGTGTTTATATAACGTGTCATTCTGCTTATCTCTGTAACAAGGATAAAGAAAAATACAAAGATTTCTAAAAGAAACATAGTATCATTACCATAGTCACAAGAGAATGTAAATAGTGGAAACAGACCTAATGTCTCTTGACAATATTATTCTATTCTTCATGGTGCTTTAGCTGGATTTTCCAATGTAAGGTCAATGTTTTCATCTATGGGCAGTTTTAATTATTAGACTCCTTAATGCCTAATATTATGTAAAAAGTTCCCAGTTGTTTTCTGCACAGTTTTTGAGCTATACCTTTGCATATATTATAGTAAAAAAAGAAACAGTCATGATGAAGATGTCTCTTCATCTCTCATAAAAAATCATACAAATAAAATGCAAGTACCTGCTCTTTTAAAGGCAAATATCTCTTATAGAACAAGTTGAATGGAATAACTAAACTGTTCACAAGAAGTTTCAGTCTTATTATCAAAAAATTTATAGTCAAGTTCCTTACATAGTAGTTTATCAATAGTATATGAAAAGTTAGGATACCATAAATCTTTGTGATGTAATAAAAACTATTAGAAATAGACTTAGAACCTTTTTAAAGATAACACAATGTATCATTATATTAATGCTATTACTTTTAGTGCAGTTATTTGTATCTGCTTCAATGGAATTCTCCATTTGTGCAAAGATATATTTATATAAACGAGGTATCTGCCATTGCATAAACATAAATGATTTCGTGTCGTAACTCAAAATTCAGTTCAGATTCTGTCCTGAGTTTGTTTCATGTTAGGTGTGTCTTAACAATTGAAAATTTTCTGCACCTTAGTTTTGTTTGTTTCTGGGAATGTTAAAGATGTGCTCTATATTAGAGTGAAGGAATGAGAAAGCAGGGATTGCAGAGCTTGTCCCACGGTGGATGAAATGGACACATGGGGTAACTTTCTCAAAGTGTTCTTAGTGCCAATGCTGCTAACACGCTGCCAGGAATACTGTGATATTAATATAATATAGGAAGGTACAAGTGTTATTGTTTATACTTCTGATTATTCTAGTCTGTAAGGAGCAAGTGAGTGTTCATCTTAGAGCAAATGACTCTTAAGAAGATCTTGATAATCTAATTTTTTTACTTCATCTTCATTCCAGTGAAAGACAGATCAGCGTTCTGGGGTACCGAAAACTATGTTAAACCACTTTAAGTCTAGGAATCCGTCAGTTATCTTTTTCATGATTTTCCAGGCATAAGTAGACTTTGCTCTGTATTAGTGAGGTAGCGTAAGTTCTCCAAATCCAAGTTGGTGCACTAAGAATTTTTTGACAGCCAACTCTGCCAGATAAGGTAAAACACCTTCAATTAAATTAAGCCAGTATGGGTTGGAGCTGTTTGTATGTAACTGGTGAAATTACTACTTGAACACATATAGGAGGCTAGCCCCGCTTCTGCAGCCCCCTTCTCAATGGGCAGTTCGTTTGTAATTTTTAGGTTTGTCTCCAGCTGCTCGTGCCTCAGGGAGGCATTGAGGCTGCACAGTCTATTTCCCACCTGCTTCCAATCTCCTAAGCTGAACTATGCCATAAGACTTGTAACTATTTTTTATGTTAATTATTACTCCCAAAAGTTAATTAAAGAGGTACAACTAAAGAAAAGAACCAAACTGATTGATTGAGAGGAAGTGTTTTTAAAGTGTCTAGAGCAGAGTGCTCTAATAGAATTTAGGAATTCTTGTCTTCAGTTTTAATTTTCGAGTTAAATTCCTCTAGGATTCAGTCTGTACACTTTCTTTAACTGTAAAGTGTTAGGCAATTTCTTGCCACAAATCTCACGAACTTTTCAAGTAATTATTTGGTAATCTTATTTCATTTAAATTAGTAGACCTCCAAAACATCTGGTCCTTACCACTGGAGTGGAACTCAAGTCTATAATATGGGAATTATTATTTCTCACAGATCACTTGAAAAAAATCATTAGCCTAAGTAAATGAATGAGTGAATTGTCTAAGTTGAGGGTTTTAATTGAGATTTTCTACATGCATAAGTCACTTACATGATTGTCCGTAAATAAAATTTGAATCGTATTTTAAAACTGGTCCCTTTATAGATGCAAACTACCTGCAGCAGAATAGTCTACCACTAGTAGTGTTGTGCTTTGTATTATTTCTGGTCAAATCCAATTTGATTAGAAGGCTTTAAGTGAAGGTTTTGTTGAATAGTCATAAATAAAAAGATATTCCTGAATGAAAAGTATATAATAATTTTCAAGGCTGTAAAACCAATATTTGAATAATAAACATCCTAAAATGCAAATTATTTCTTTGAAACAAACCCTATAAAAATTGAATGCAATAAAAATAAAGCAAAGAGTGATAACTTGAAACACTACTCGTTTACCAGCCAGAACCTCCTGGCACCTTTCTGCCACAAAAGCCCTTCCCTCACCAGCCCCTCACCGTTTGTCACAGCTGCCTGGCTCCCTTCTCCTCATCTTGTGGTTGGGCTCTTCAGTGTAATTGGAGTTGAGCCACACAGATCTATCTTCAAAGAAGCACATGACGAGGGAGAAAAAAAATAAAACTATTTTTACATAGGGGCAACTTGGTTCTAGTCTCCAAGATTAAAGGAAAGAACTTGCTAGCTCCGGCTTTTGTGCACTTAGTGACTTTCTGGTTTGACCTCCAATGTGTTCCTAAATACCAGTTTTTCCTCCAACAGCTTTAAAAGTACCTCTTCTGGTTTAAAAATGATAGTGATTACTTTCATGTAGTTTTCTTGTTCCTTTCTTACTTGCTTCTGTCGTCTTTTCTTAAGAATAGCATTTTCCCCATTCTATTCCATTTTTGGTTTTCAGAATACTTTTATTTAATTTTCTATGAAGATCTGTATTTTTCTGAGAAATATTTTGGTTCAAAAGAAAGAGTGATAGTGCTGAAAGGCTATAATTTAGTAGCTAACATAATATTGACAAAGAAAATGCCTTTCCTTAGTAGGAAAATATTATCCCATGAAGGAAGTAAGACTATAAATTATGCCTTTTTTCACATAATATGTGCAGTCAGAATTATTTCCTGATGTTTTTTAAAATTATTTTTACAGTCCCAGTGGGTCTTTGTTATCTTGCTTGGAGCAGGTTAAAACATACCTGCTTACAGACGGAACATGCAAGTGTGGCTTGGAATGTCCTCTTATTCTTCCCAAGGTAACCGTTTCACAACAGATCTCTCAGCAGTTTTTTTATTTTTTTAGGTGTTCTGTGTATTTGCTTTTCTCATTTGACATTTCATTTTTACATTACTTCTCCAATCACATATGCATTTTAAAGTCTAATTAGATATTTTGCATGCATTTTGAAATACTTAGTGATTGTGGAAAATGGTTCAAATCCTGGAATCATTTTTAAATATTGTATATTACACATTTTATTAAAATCTCTTTTGCCCATTTTATTAGAGTTGTACCTATGTTCACCATTTAAAAGTGCAGTATTTTCTTTCCCTACTATAACTGTTCAATCTGCAATGATAAATCTGCCACCAGTGTTTCTAAAATCACAAAGCTAAAATGTGAAACTGTTTTTCTCCTTTGCAAGGTAGGAAGTAAAAATTATTTTAAATGATAAAATATTACGACTCTAGAAACATGTCATTGTTCTCTGAGTATCTATTATAGTGCCAGTTTTAGAACTAGGATTAATAGACACCTTTTTTCTTTTTATTTGTGTATCCCATCATTCCAAAAAAAAATAATTCAAAACATCTCATAAGTATATACACAATAAATAGTATTTTTTAAAATAGAGAAACAGATTTTTAATAGGTGAAAAAGTAATGCTAATATAGTAATAAAATAAAGCCAAAGAAAAAGTTAGCACATAGAAATGTCAGCTTGTGGATTTTAAATTGAACTTCATCTATTTTTGTACTGTTATAACATCAAGAAATATCTATAATTGGCAACATTATCAGATAGTATATCTTTGCATATATTTATCTTGGCTATCTTAGAATTAGGATAATTTTCATTACTTACTGTACCACTAAAAACCATGAGTTCAGCAAAAGTATTTATCAAGTTATATAAAGTTGCTTTTCTTAAATTTAAAAACTTGATAAAATTTTATTCAGATTCGTGGCTAAATCTACGTAAAGAAATTTTTTAAACAAAGGATCTTTTTATTCAATGCTTTACAACATACTCTAAACAAAGGCTGTCCTTTTCCAGGTGTTTAATTTTGATCCTGGAGCTGCTGTGAAACAAAGAACTGCAGAAGATGTTAAAGCAGATGAAGATGTCACAAAGCTATGCATACATAAAAGAAAAATCATTGCAGTGGCCACACTTCATAAAAGCATGGAAGCCCCACATCCTTCTCTGGTGCTTACCAGTCCCGGAGGAGGAACAAGTATGTAACATGGTGAAGGGTTTAGGGATCTTCCTCCCCACTCCTCTCCCAGAGGGGTCATGAGAAATCACTTTGCCAAGCATTTTCCAAGTCCACTTTTCAAACATGCACATTGCTTTTAAAGTTATGAATGTTTTATCATTTTATCACAAATAGCAAATTCATTCTGAAAACTTCTCATGAATTTGTTTCCCAAAGTTTCTTATCCAAATCATCTAGTTAAACAATTACACTAAACACTTATTAGCACATACAAATGTTATGCAGGGACAGAGCTGAACTAACAAAAAGAAAGTGCCACAGATTTTTAGGAAACAAATGTAGACTTTATCGGAGTGTGTGGTGTCAAATCCTCAAATACAACTAGCAATATTTTCAAGAACTAGCAGTATTATTTTTTTCTGTCATTAGTAGATGTATTGAACATCTGCTAATAGATCTTACCTTGTCTGGAGCTTTTTATATCTCCCCCAACATATATGTATGCATGCCTGCTTTCACTTTCAAAAAAAAAATTCAAAAATGCAGAAAAAGGGCATGAAGAGTTCATTGAATACAATGTACCCTCCATCTAGATTCACCAATTAACAATTTTGTTGCAGAAATTGCAGATATTGTAAAAACTGACCCCTAAATAGTTCAGCACACAAGGACATTCTCTTCATAAACCAAAATCTAATCATCATATTCAGGAAATTTAACACTGATATAATATTATCTAATATGTGGTCTATATTTAGATTTTTCCAGTTGTCCTAATAATTTCTTAATGTTATTTTTAATCCAGTTTTTTAAAAATCCTGAATGCAATCAGAGATTGTGCAGTGCAATTAGTCGTTACATTTCTCTAACCTTCATGAATTCCCCAGTCTTTTTCATTCTTTCCTGGCATTGACGTTTGTGAAAAGTCCAGGTCGGGGTTATAGAATGTTCTTCAGTTTGGATTTGCCTAATTGTGTCCTCATATATATATTCAGGTTCAACACTTTTTGCTAGGAATGCTGCATAGGTGATGTTATGTCCTCCTCAGGAGGCATATATGTCAATTTATCCCAAATTGATGACATTAAGTTTGATTGCTTGATTATGGTTATATCCATCTGATTACTCCATTGTTGAGGTACCCTTTCCCTTTACAATTAATATGTAATCTGTGGAATCAGACTGAAGAACCTCTTTTTGTAAGCGCTGGAGTATTAACTCTAAAATATTACAATCTACTTAACACTTGAATAGTAATTCAGAATAAAATATAGTGAAATGCCAAAACATTTGTTTATGAAGGAAAAGTGATATTGTTCTGCAAAGCTCTGAAAAAAATAGAGATGATGAGTGTAACCTGTAGTCATAAGAGAAAGAGAAAGCAAATCTGAACCAACCTGGAAAATGGTAGGATTTAGACACATGAGGAAAATAGTAAAGTTCTAGTCCAGAATGAGTAAAAGCCATCATGGGGAAACTAATCTGACTTGAGGGGAAGTCTAAGCCTGTTTAGGGAAACTGGGGTCCAATTACGGACTTACATAAAAAGAGGAGCAGCTGTGACATCATACAGGTGAAGATTTCCACTCAAAGCTCATGTGCCGAGGGCGGGGAGAGACAAACAGTAGCTGTTAGAGAGCGCCTTTCCCATAACCCTCTAACCGTTAAACTTTAACAGGAATGATCAGAAAAAAATTGCTCCACTAAGGTATGTAAGAAAAAAAAAAATCTTGTAAGGGATTTTTCTTTTTCTTTTAATGAGTTATATTTTTTTAAAATTAAAAGATACTGCAATAAAGACAGTTAATAGTAATGAATTATTTAACAACAGTATCTTGACATCTTGATGTAACTATGTTTCCATTTTTGCATATACTCATATCTGCTGCTGTTCTCATATTATATCAAACAGTTCTACCTCTTTCTACAGAATCTGCCTTGTTGTCTTTTTAATGAACTTAACAGTCTTGATTTGGTCCTTTGTTATATCCTATACATAAAAGTTTCATTATTGAAAATAAAGGTAAATATTTAACTATACAGGTACAGGTATAAAATGTATATCGCTATCCCATTTTGAAATGGTGTACTTTATTGGATTAATTGCTACTGTTTTACTAACTTCAGACATAGCATTTATTTCCCATTTCTTATTTTAAACTGTTATCATAAGTTTGAACTTTAAATAATTAAATGTTAACAAGACTTGTATAGTAGTTCTCACCTCTAACATACATAAACATATATTTAGTTTCTGCTTGTTCTTTTGAAAGGTCTCCATGAAAGCCCTTGATGGGTACCTAACATTTATATTTACCAACTCTTATAATAATTCAGTTCCTAACCCTAAACTAATGGCAGAATGACTTTTGTTTGTTTAGTATTCCCGTTATTTTAAAGGTAACTCTTTAAAATATTTAAAATAAGTGGTAACTATTTTTCCCCAGGTATGGAAGAAATCCTTTTAAAGCCACAGCCATTTCCTAAATTCTGTTGACTATAAAAAAAAAATACCAATGCCTACCTTTTTAATCCTTTAACTGTAAATAATTATATAAATACCCAGGAAAAGACACAGTCTGTCGTTTCATTACTGAAGAGGACACAGTCAATCCTGTAACAAAGCTAATACAAACAACTGTGTTCTCACTGTGTGCCACACATAGCACCTCAACTATTTTTCACATACATATTATTTTTTTTATTGCAAACTTAAAAAATTTCTTTTTAACAAGAAAATAAGTTCAAGTGAGTGTATCTGCTACAATTCTCTTACGTCATTGGTTCTCAACTTTTCATATATTATATCCAGAAATCACGCTATCAAGAATCTTCCTATGCTAGAAACAGAAAGCCCACATGCCCAAAGAAAAACGTGTTCACTTCATTCTTCTACTTCTTGAATGCACCCTGCCTCAACTTCTGTGTACCCCAAATTGAGAACCATTGTCTTAGAAATTATTATATGATTTGATCTGTACTCTACCTAGCAGGTAGAAGAAGTATGTTTACCTTAACTTTGCAAGTATTCATTTGAGTAAATATACTTCTGATTGCGGATGAATCCAAGCATACTTGCCAACATGTCGTCAGGTCTCAGAAGCAGAATGGCCAGCGTGCGGTGTGAGTGGTGCCGCGCGTGCCTCCCGCGCCTCCCGCGCGCGTGGTAGACTCGGGGGCTCGCTCACAGCCCAGCACAGCGCGGCATCCTTTTCATCACAGCCCTCTGAGCAGCCACCCCCAGTTGATGGCACTTGGCATATGAAATTAATTTTATTTGCTATCCCTGTTTTAGAAGGTACAACTTTATAAAATAGTTCAACATCCTGAGGGGCTAAAAAGCTTAAACCTCGAATTCTAACAAGATAAAGTGAAAGTTCAGTCTGATGTGCCAGCTCGCCTCTGTTGCCTGTATTCTGTCTGATCTCCAAAGGAACCGAAGGGATTCCGGAAAGCCAGTGAGAGAGCAGTACACTCTGTAAAAAGAGAATTCTCGATGAGAACCCAGTACTGAAACCCGGTACTGAAAATTTAGCACTCGGACTAAATTTTGCATGAGGATTCTACCTGACAAAAGAATTGCAGCCTTTTACTTGAGTTGACTGACTACAGCTGTTTTTACAGTGATGACTGATTAACATCAAAGAAACTGCACTGTTACAGACTTGATGGGAAGCTAGACATGATTGCAGTATCACTGCATTGACTGTTGCTACCGCTCCCATGATAAAAGATTCCGAATCCCATTCACTGAATTCACAAAAATTAAGACTCTTTTACTCTCACAGTGAAAATGGTGGGATAAGGAAGCGTTTCTTTTAGCTGTCCTGAGGAGGTTTCAGTAAGAGAAACATTAATACGGTAACAGATTTTCCGGTGAAAATGGCAATTCATTTAAATCACCCAAGTAAATATGCCGCACAGATAATAAGTTTCTATTGTAACTGTGTTCCTAAAAAATTCAAATCCAATAAGATAGTAACACCATCATTTCCATCTGGGCTGTCAATCTTGATTTTGCATATTCTAAATATTAATGGAATGGCTAATGTCAGTATGAACTGATTCCGATTTTCATCCTTTCTCAACAGATAAGAGGCAAACAAGCATAATGAGCTGTTAATTGAGAACTTTCAGCCAACTAAGGGAGAATAATGTGCATTTTTTAAAATCAAAATTTAATGTAGAGTGCAGAATTTATGGTTGCAAAGAGGCACAATTTCTATTTGCAAATTTCTATTTCCAGATACCTTCCCTTTCTCATTTCCTCCTTTTCTTCCCTCCCCGCAAGACCCCACCACCCCCCCGCCGCCCGCCCCCAAATACAAAAGAATTTACACTCCTTAACAGATTTTTTTTCTCTCTCACATCAGATGCAACTCCAGTAGTACCTTCACGGGCAGCAACTCCAAGATCCATAAGAAATAAGCCTCATGAAGGAATTACAAATTCTGTAATGCCTGAATGTAAGAATCCTTTCAAGTTAATGATCGGATCATCAAATGCCATGGGAAGGCTGTATGTACAAGAACTGCCAGGAAGCCAGCAACAAGAACTCCACCCTGTCTACCCCCGGCAAAGACTGGGCAGCAGTGAGCACGGACAGAAGTCTCCATTCCGTGGCAGCCACGGAGGCCTGCCCAGCCCAGCATCGTCAGGATCCCAGATTTATGGAGATGGCTCAATCTCTCCGAGGACTGACCCACTTGGAAGCCCCGATGTTTTCACAAGGAACAATCCTGGTTTTCATGGAGCTCCCAATTCTAGTCCTATTCACCTGAATAGGACTCCTCTTTCTCCACCTTCAGTAATGCTACATGGTTCTCCTGTACAGTCATCCTGTGCAATGGCTGGAAGGACTAATATACCTCTTTCCCCAACCTTGACTACAAAGAGTCCAGTAATGAAAAAACCAATGTGTAATTTTTCAGCTAATATGGAAATACCACGAGCAATGTTCCACCACAAACCGCCCCAAGGCCCACCTCCCCCTCCACCTTCTTGTGCTCTTCAGAAAAAGCCATTAACATCTGAGAAAGATCCACTTGGCATTCTTGACCCTATTCCTAGTAAACCGGTGAATCAGAACCCTGTTATCATTAATCCAACTAGTTTCCATTCAAATGTCCACTCTCAGGTACCTGTGATGAATGTAAGCATGCCTCCTGCTGTTGTTCCTTTGCCAAGTAATCTCCCTTTGCCAACTGTAAAACCTGGTCACATGAATCATGGGAGTCATGTACAAAGAGTTCAACATTCAGCTTCAACCTCCCTGTCCCCTTCTCCAGTGACATCCCCAGTGCACATGATGGGGGCTGGAATCGGAAGGATTGAGGCATCGCCCCAAAGATCACGCTCATCTTCCACATCATCAGATCACGGAAATTTCATGATGCCACCTCTAGGACCCCAAGCCACTTGCAGTGGTATCAAGGTTCCACCCAGGTCACCAAGGTCAACAATAGGGTCCCCAAGGCCATCAATGCCATCAAGCCCTTCTACCAAGTCCGATGGACATCATCAGTACAAGGATATCCCTAACCCATTAATTGCTGGAATGAGTAATGTACTAAATACCCCAAGCAGTGCAGCATTTCCTACTGCATCTGCCGGAAGTGGTTCTGTAAAGAGTCAGCCTGGTTTGCTGGGAATGCCTTTAAATCAGATCTTGAACCAGCACAATGCTGCCTCGTTTCCAGCAAGTAGTTTACTCTCAGCAGCAGCCAAAGCACAGCTAGCAAATCAAAACAAACTTGCTAGTAACAACAGTAGCAGCAGTAGCAATTCTGGAGCTGTTGCTGGCAGTGGCAACACTGAAGGACATAGCACTTTAAACACCATGTTCCCTCCTACTGCCAACATGCTTCTCCCAACAGGTGAAGGGCAAAGTGGTCGAGCAGCACTAAGAGATAAGCTGATGTCTCAGCAAAAAGACTCATTGCGGAAAAGAAAACAGCCACCCACCACAGTTTTGAGTTTGCTCAGACAGTCTCAAATGGATAGTTCTTCAGTTCCTAAACCTGGGCCCGACTTGCTAAGGAAGCAAGGTCAGGGTTCTTTTCCCATCAGTTCAATGTCTCAGTTACTACAGTCTATGAGTTGTCAAAGCTCTCACTTGAGTAGCAATAGTACCCCGGGTTGTGGGGGCTCAAATACTGCTTTGCCTTGCTCTGCTAACCAGCTGCATTTTACAGACCCCAGTATGAACTCCAGTGTTCTTCAGAATTCATTGACACAGAACATACCTTTACGAGGGGAAGCCGTGCACTGCCACAATGCAAACACTAACTTTGTTCACAGTGACAGCTCAGTCCCGAACCACCATCTTGCAGGTTTAATAAATCGGATTCAGGCTAGCGGGGACTGTGGGATGCTCGGGCGGTCGGGCGTGGCTTTAGGAAATTCATTACATCCCAACCCACCTCAGTCAAGAATTTCAGCGTCCTCTACTCCAGTGACACCAAACAGCATTGTTAGCGGCTATAATCAAACAAGTTCTGAAGCAGGTATGGTTTTATTAGAAAAAAGTGCCCAGAGGTACTAAACTTTTCTATGTTTTTTAAAATTTGTACCAAAATATTTATTATAAGAAATGATCCTTTCCCCATTGTGAAATTCTCATCGCTTCGTTAGTATTTATAATTTTATTTACAGAATGCTAGGGATGTGTCTATTAGTAAAAAAAAATAACAGCCAAGGGGATTCCATGTGTTTCCGTTATTTGTTGTCAATCTGTGTCATTCAGAGTATCATTCGACTTTCAGTTGGTCACATAACCGTGGGACTGTAAACGACAGAAAAAGCCATAGAAGGCAGGGCGTGCTGGTGCATGAGCCATGTTCTCAGCTGATGCCAGTAGGAAAGCTGTTCTCCCGAGCTTTTGTTTGTATTCAGGTAAATGAAGCTCATCCTGGAAGACCCAAAAAGGCAAAAATAAATGGATTTTCTATTCTTGCTGCTGACCAGAAATAGGTGAACGGATAGGAAAAGGTAACTAGAAGTTGTATGAAGTAGAAAGCTGTCTTCTAATGTGTTTTCTTATCCTAGTTTGCTATCCTTTATTATTATTTGTTTGAGAAAATTAAAAAATGGACATTGACTACTCCCTTCTTAAAAAGGGTAATAATTTAAGTTTTCTAATAAAAAGAAAGGCTTGAAAACCTGATTTCCAGAATTTTTGAACTTGAAATTGTTTTTCATAGTTTTCTTGTAGGACTAAACCATTATTTTTAGCATTGACATTAAAGTTTTTAACTCAAATTTATTGTATCTCTTCATCCACTATTAATGAAGGCAAATTAATTTAAAAGCAGACACATTAGAAAGAACTGTATTTTGTGCAATAGAGTCCTCAGAAATTGTTATTAAAAACTGTAAAGAAGCACTACAGAGGAAAACTCACTGAGACATCAAAAATTTTACCATGAAAACAGTAGATTATCCAAAACACAGCACTAATGATTTGGGAGATTTGTGGGAAATGATGGGGAGGAAATAAAAGGTGGCGATAGAGACAATATTGTTCAAATATGAAAACGGGGCTTTAAAAATCAGAGTGCTACTGAAAATGAGTAAACTGCTGAGGCTTTTAATAATAAGCCATTGTGTATGTATGTACAGACTGCATTGTACCACCTTGCTGGAGAAGCGCTATAACCTACTTCTCTTTGTTGCTGAGAGTGAAGTCCAGTGTCTTTCCCCTGGCATCACTGCTTACACTTGCCATCCTCCACAACTTGTATTGTGTGTTATGTTCTGTTGTCACTATTGAATGAATAAGTATTCATTGACCTCTTGTGTTCAAAAGAATATAAGGTGGAGAAGATAACTGAAATCATTAGTGCCTTCTTGATATTCTCAGTCTAGGGAATCTCATGAAAATATTTTCTGTGTCTAACAGGATACTTTTTTCAAATGGGCTTCTACCTTTTCAACGGTTCATATTCCTTTTTAGATTTAGATTTTTAGATACATTTAGCAATTTAAAGTTATATGAAATAAGCAACTGTTTTAAAATGCACAATATTTATTAAGCATACCTTCAATCATTTAGATGAGACATTGTTAGTCTCGTTGTATTGTATCTTTAAATTTTGATACCCCTTACCTCAACTTACTTTTGTTTCAGGTCTCAGTTCATATTGAAAAGTGTATGCATTTTATTAATGATGTATTTAAATTTATAATGGAAAAGACCAACATTTATATTCTTGTTCTGATTGTCAAGTTTAGACTTATTTTATATAGTCTTTAACATGTATTTTCTTGTTCCACACATCTCTGTAAAACATTGGATCTGGATTCTCAGTGCTGGGAGTGTCAAAACACAGAGGTTGAAAATTCATTAATTTAAGAAAAGTGTTGACATATAAATAGGTAAAAGGGACAAGAATAAATGTCTAGTAAATGATACGGATGTGACTGATCATATGTAAGCTAACAGACAGCATATGTTTGATGAATACCTAGGTCAGTAAGAATTTTTAAGATAGTAAACTCAATAAAATTAAATACTCATTGAGATCTGATATGCAGCTGGTTATGAAAATAAGTAGCTTTACTAATTAATATAACTCTTTAATGAGCTGAATACTGAAAAGGTCTCTAATGCCATTTTTCTTTTTGATATGTAGTGAATTGTGTCACTGAATGTCCTGTCATTGTAACTACTTAGACTAAATATTTACGTACACTGACATTTATTCATCCATCAAATAAGCACCCAGGCTCATGTTCAGAGTCAGACAGCAGATCATGGTCACAATTATCTCTAAATTTTGCTAGGTCTTCCTAGCATACCAGGCAGAAATGAAAAAACACTTTTATTCTTAAAATGTTGCTCATGGCTATTAGTGATTACATATTGTATGCCAGGTGATTTCCCTATAATTTCTAATTTATGCAATTTTCCAAAGTATAAGGTATTATGTCCCATCTTCCAGATGAATAAACTGAGCATCAGAGAACTTAACTGCCCAAGATCATATGTAACTGAATTAGGATTTGAACTCAGGTTCATCTAATTCTAAAATCCATTTTCTTCACAACTGCCTAAGTTCTTCAACCAAAACATTTAGTGGTCAAGAATCCTCTTCACTTTCAACATCTTAAAAACTATCCAACAGATAATGAATTGAAGTATCATAGTATACAATAATCAGAATGCGTTAATGCAGATGAAATGTCCAAAATTTCAAAGGAACGGTCTTTCACTTGTGAATCGCAGGTGGTGACCTTTATTTCAATGAATTGGTATCATCTCACTTACTCAAATGAAAATGGGTTTCCTTGTGGGTCACACGGAGGTGACCCTGCCCGTGCGGGTCTTGCCGTTCCCAGCAGGCTAGCGCAGTGGGCGTGAAAGAGCTCCCAGGGAACACGGGCCCACTCTGCTCCAGGGGTAACAGCGTGAACAGAACTCAGGGAGCCTCCTGCTCAATCCAGTGCCTTTTTCCACTTTCTGAAGCAACAGCTCAAAAATGTTACATTAAGACATCAATTAAGACAAGAAATCACTTGCTCTGAAAAATGCATCATTCTATTGGTAATTTATTTTTTAAAACTTCTTATAAAGAATTTTTCTATCATAAACAACCCAAATACAGACTTTTGGGGCCTATAAGTGAATTCTAAAGGACGCACTCAGGTATGGAAATGAAAGGCAAAGATTGTTAAGAAATAATCAGATAAAAGATTTGAAATGCTCTGAAGACATCTGTAAAACTTAAAGACTACCAAGGCTTTAGTAGTTCTATTTGGAGTTTTGAAATTGCCTTTCCACTAAAGCTCTTTAAACACTTGCATTACAAAGTTTACAGGTTTCTATTAGCTTTTTGGATATCAAATTACAAGTAAAGTTTAATATTTCCACGTGACACATCTAGAAACTGACCAGTAGGATACTTGGTGACATTCCTCACGTTGTAAAGGAAAGCTCTGGTGGATCTGGGAACCAAACCCCCAAGTTCCTGACCTCAGTGCAAACACTCAAACTGCTGAATGCAGGTATGTTCTGAGAGCCATCTGCAGTGTACTTTGAAAGCAACCTTCAGTTTATGAAGAGAAAAAAGTGTCAGCATGTTCCGCGGTGTTTTGGTTTAGAGAGGATTCCAAAATCGAGTGCCGTTGACTGGCAAATTTCCTCAGGCCATGCTTCCTCGGGCCTCTGACTGCGGCCACCTGCTGACCCCAGAACCGAGATGCGGTCGTGCCCAGACCCCGCGCCTCCGCGGAGGACTTAGCTCTATCAGCGTCCACGTTACAGCCCATCCTTCCTGTGGCCCTCTGTTTTTGTTCCAATTTTCAAAGAAAAAGATTTAGACTAGTGTGCTAACTAACTTTACCTTCCTCTGATATGATAAAGTCATTAAATATATAACTTTTTCACCTTAAAATGTTTTTTATATTCTCATTTTTTTCTAATAAAATGATTTAATCAACTCTTATAAACACATGAAAATAGATCCTCTGAGGGGGCAGAGTATGAGCCTGTACCAGAAGAGAATATAATTCACACATTTATTTGCCTTAACTCAAAGATATACATTGAGAAGAATATAAACCTACAAATAAATATATCTTTGTGGATATTTATATGTATATATATTTCAAAACTCTGGAAAAAAAGTTTTATTTCAGTACAAAATACATTTCATTAAACTTGGTACAACCATTGATATGGTAGGTATAAGAAAACGAAATAGAGACCACAAAAGAACACTTTGGGTAAAAGACAGCAAAGTAATGAGTTTGTTGTTGTTTTGTTCTATGTATGTATGCTCAGAACATGCCAGAAAGAAGATACAGGGAAATCGTCATTCCCTACATGTTATAGGTAGGAACAGATTTATGGAATAAAAATGCTCAAGGGTGGCTCATACTGTATAAGTTAGACCTCTCAAAATATGGGCAGTTGCTGTAGAAATAGCCTTTTAGTTACATAGACTGATACAGAGTGAAGAAAGCCAGAGGCTTGTTTTGAGGTCATGACTGAATATGTAGTAGTTTCTATAGAAAGCATTTCCACCCAAATTTTTAAATGCCTACTACAGTTTATCCTCATGCACAAGGTTTCTAGTTTAAAAGTTGCCCTCTCTTCTTGATTTTTAACCAAATACCAAAACTTTAGTAAATTACTGACTGTGATAATTATGTATTCTTTTGGTTAAATTTTTGCAAAATGAGCCATTTCCCCTTTGTTGTCAGAAATTTTTACAACAGGTAATGCCTTGCTGTTTAAGAAGGTTTCCTAATATCAGGGTTACACCGCTTGTTTTGTTTACATATTCCAGGTTTAATGTTTTTTTGTGTACAAAAAAAAAGCTAAAATATGTTTGACTTTAGACATTGAGTCTGTATAATCAAAGGTGATAATAGAACTCAGAGTGGGGTGATGTGTTTGCTGATTCAATGATCTGTTTTGTACCTTTCGAAAAATAAATTGTCCCAGTGTGCAAATTGGAAGAATTTTATTCCATTGCAATACACTAAGCTCACTTATAAAGCC